TAGGGGTTATGTTTTGTAGAGGTACAAACTTTTAAGACGAGTTTCTCTTTACTCATACGTAAGCTTTAATGTGCGCATTAGATACATGTTGAATGGGAAATAAAATACCTCCCTGTTATAACATCACAAAGTGTTTTTGAAAGTCAGATTAGAATCCAAAATAACAATCTAGATTTTAGTTAATTTTATTATTTCTTTAAAATGTTATCATCATTTTCCTAATACATAACAAATATTAAGTCTGGGATTCAATCATATTTAATTATTGGGTTGTTAAATAATACAAGACCCATCCTCATAGATGGGTTTTAAAGATTCCATAGATCATTGATTTGATCTTAAAATGATTTTTATTAAATTTTGTTATACTCAATATTAAATCTAGAGTATTTTCCACGAGGCTGTATTTTATATATCTATTATTTATTTTATTATTCATTGCAATGGTGATCACCACTTTTAAATAGTTAATTTACGAATGCAAATGCAGTTTTAAAGTAACTTACTTATATGTAACAGCTATTATTACAATGCAATAAATACTCATTTTACAGTAAAAGATAGCAAAAAATAAATAAATAAATAAAAATACTAAAACTTTTACAGTTACAAATATGCAATAAATAAAAAAAATTATATACAGTATTAGACACTACCTAATAAATTTGACAACCTTGTTAATGAGACTGAAAAGTTTATAATAAAATTATGTATTAATAATATAATTATTGATTTACACTAATATTCTCAAATAGAAATGAATATTTTTGACAACTTTTATTACAAAAACATGAAATTCGTGGACTATTACATTAATATAGTTGATCTTTTACAAACCTATAGTATAATAATTGTTTTAGAAAGCAATAAACATGATATTGCCATGAACCAATATATCTTCCTGTACAAAGACAGGCTTATCAGTGAAGTGTTCATATGGTTAATGAGGCTTTACTGAGGGGATTGGGATTGAAGTGGGACTTTGATCAGACCACTTCTACGTATGATATTGCTTTATATATTTCTCACCAATTTATACAATCTTTGTATTCATAATCTTTCAAAAACGTTGGTACTCCTTTTACCTACAAGTCATTGTGATAAAATTGTTATACATTTTCGAAAAAATTTAATTGGCTGGATAATTTGAGTGAAAGCACAATAGTTACGTGATGGCTATTGTTAACCGTGTTCGTACTAAAAAAAAGGATGTAAGTCACGAGTTACATGAAAAGTAGCTTACTATATAAATATCGAAAAACTGGTTCGGTTTCCACAATAAATTTAGATTTACATTAGATAAACAAATTTCAAATATAACGATTTTTACGTAAAGTTGTTGTTGGTATACTAGTAAAATATTAGATGTAGTGGTACCTTTAAATTTTTAAAGGTGGTGAGATTAAACTGTGAATAAGAAACCAACAAAGTCATATTATATTTTACCCTGAATCTATAGTACGTATAAAGACTTTTTTCTTTGCCTTTGACCTGCCAATTAAATTGATTATTTATCACAGGGTGGCTTAAATGGATGTTCGGATTTGAACTGCATAGTACTATTAGGGTTGGAGGGTCGGGTCCACTGTTGGCCGTCTGAAGTCGACCATAACATGTTGGAAGTATGGAAAATAGTATCCAATTTGCCACGAGATAGCGCAGTGGACGGTCGAGCACTACGTTGTTGCTGTGGAACAGTTTTTTTTTCATAAACAGTAAATCTTTTATTACGTTGCAACGGTACATTTTTTGACAACATTTTGGTGTAGCCTGTAATGGACTGGTTCATGATCAAAGATCAATACCACGTTGAGTGACTGTATTTCGGACAACAGGGCCCGTCATTAGTAGTAAATATACTAGACGTCCATGAACGGCAGTTACTCTAAAAAAAAAATAGAGACCGCAAGAGCGTCAGTGCTTCAAAGTCCGCTACTTTATTTTTATGGTTTTTAATTATTTTTTTTTAGTTAAAATTTTTATAGTTTGGTTGACATAGCCTACTAGCAACGTTGTAACTTAAAAGGTGTTTTTTTTTTGTAATTGGGTATTTGAAAGTGTCTAGAAACGTAAGTCAGTAAGATTTATGTGTAAAATCACTTGTGTTGTATTCATTTCAAAACCGACCATACTTTTGCGCCACCCTGTATCTGTACTTATTTAACATATGTTATTTTTATGTTTACTTTTCAATACATAATTTTTTCTTGATCATGTTAACATGGCGTGTCTCATTTCTTAATTTTTTTACATTTCTTAATCCAAAATTTCAATATAAAATTATTATTGTTAAATATACCAAAATGAAAACCATGAAATAAATCAGCAAACAATTTGGTAGCAATAAGCTAAATTTACCAACATTGACCAATACTTTCCCATCTGTGTGGTTGTTTGAACGCTGAGTTTCAGTGATGGAAGACCGTGCTGACATTAACCCACGTCAGTGTGGATTCTGTGATTCATTAATTGATTCAGTGTTCCATTGATCTAGTGGTAAAATACAGTGATCTAGTGGTACAGTGATGTAGTGGTACAGTGATCCAGTGATACAGTGATGTAGTGGTACAGTGATCCAGTGGTAGAGTGATCTAGTGTTCTATTGATCTAGTGGTAGCCTGCAGTGATTTTGTGGGACACTGATCTAATGGACAGTGATCACGTGGTACAGTGATCTAGTGGTTTAGTAATCTAGTGGTAGCCTGCAGTGATCTAATGGTAAAGTGATCTAGTGGTACAGTGATGTAGTGGTACAGTGATGTAGTGATACAGTGATCCAGTGGTAGAGTGATCTAGTGTTCTATTGATCTAGTGGTAGACTGCAGTGATTTAGTGGTACACTGAACTAGTGGACAGTGATCAAGTGGTACAGTGATCTAGTGGACAGTAATCTAGTGGTACAGTGATCTAGTGGTACAGTGATCTAGTGGTACAGTGATCTAGTGGTACAATGATCTAGTGGTTTAGTAATCTAGTGGTAGCCTGCAGTGATCTAGTGGTAAAGTGATCTAGTGGTAGAGTGATCTAGTGCTCTATTGATCTAGTGGTAGCCTGTAGTGATTTAGTGATACACTGATCTAGTGGACAGTGATCAAGTGGTACAGTGATCTAGTGGATAGTACCGGTAATCCAGTGGTACAGTGATCTAGTGGTACAGTGATCTAGTGGTACAGTGATCTAGTAGTACAGTGATCTAGTGGTACAGTGATCTAGTGGTTTAGTGATCTAGTGGTAGCCTGCAGTGATCTAGTGGTACAGTGATCTAGTGGTACAGTGATCTAGTGGTTTAGTGATCTAGTGGTAGCCTGCAGTGATCTAGTGGTACAGAGATCTAGTGTCAAAGTGATGTAGTGGTAGCCTGCAGTGATCTAGCAGTACAGTGATCTAGTGGTACAGTGATCTAGTGTTCTATTGATCTAGTGGTAGCCTGCAGTGATTTAGCGGTACAGTGATCTAGTGGTAGCCTGCAGTGATCTAGCGGTACAGTGATCTAGTGTTCTATTGATCTAGTGGTAGCCTGCAGTGATTTAGTGGTACACTGATCTAGTGGACAGTGATCTAGTGGTACGGTGATCTAGTGGACAGTGATCTAGTGGTACAGTGATCTAGTGGTACAGTGATCTAGTGGTTTATTGATCTAGTGGTAGCCTGCAGTGATCTAGTGGTACAGTGATCTAGTGGTAAATTGATCTAGTGGTAGCCTACAGTGATCTAGCGGTACAGTGATCTAGTGGTAGCCTGCAGCGATCTAGTGGTACAGTGATGTAGTGGTAGCCTGCAGTGGTCTAGTGGGTCAGTGATATAATGGACAGTGATCTAGAGGTACAGTGATCTAGTGGTAGCCTGTAGCGATCTAGTGGTACAGTGATGTAGTGGTAGCCTGCAGTGATGTAGTGGGTCAGTGATATAATAGACAGTGGTCTAGTAGTACAGTGGTCTAGTGGTACAGTGATCTAGTGGTTCAGTGATGTAGTGGTACAGTGATCTAGTGGTACAGTGATCTAGTGTTCTAGTGATCTAGTGGTAGCCAAAAAACGTACCAATTTTGCGTCCCATTTAAGTTGGTAATCTGATATTATCTAATATTAACTGCTTTTTTAAGTGGGGGAATCAAACCTCGGTTACACAAGTTTTTTACTGAAATTACACAGAATATGCTCACTAAAAAAAACTCATATCAATGTGGATAAATCACAGTGACTTTATTTCTTGGGTAGTTACAATGCTTGTAAGGTGAATAACCTCTCTTTAGGTAGGTTATGTTTATCAAATGATTACACAATGTAGGTATTTTCAACAAAGTAAACATAGTTTATGCAAATTTTATTTTGGTCCTTTATAGTGCTACTACGACAGCGACCTAATCAGCTGTGCTGGGCAGATTAAAGTTGTGAAGGGAAAGAGCAATATTGAACGCCACACGATCAAAGGGTCTCACTAGTGCCACCCTGGTCTGTGTATTTCATTACCTCCCAGGACAGGACACTTCACTTTGTTGAGAATGACCTCAATGTTGAGTTTATTTATATAAAGCTTAAAACTACCTCCTCACGTCCCTTCACTTATTAAAAATACACATCAATCCATGATATAGATCCTCAGTTACAAAAATATATCCATCGAAATGTTCCAAACTATTAAATGTCATGTAAAATTACACGTTAAAATAATATTCGCAACCACGGATCACAAGGATTACCCTGTCAGCGTTTCCAAACTGCTTGAACAATTGGATCATTGACTCTTGCTAAGCCCTGGGGTTGTCGATCTAATACCTCTAATTGGTATGATCCCTGAAGCTTTATGTGCGAGATGGAGCTCTCGATAGAATTCATCAGTTGATAGCAGCTAGTGTAACAGGTAGCTGTGTGGAGGGGGTGAGGGGAGGGTGTGCCCGGATCTGTTGCACTGTCATGCCCATTACCTCCCCTACAATTCCCCCACCACCACCCCCTCAACCACCCTTTGCTCCTCACTAGGGTAGCGGCTACCCCAGTGTCGTGTGTAGTGCCACCGCTCCGGGTACATCTCTATGATTAGCTGATTAAGGTGAGTAATTTCAATTAATTAAGGAATAATCGTTATTTTTAACAGTTTTTTTTTAACACGTTTTAATCCGGGTTACTATCGCATTCGTGGTGCATCCAGAGTAGATAGGTGAACTAATCGATAGGTCGTAAAACTAATTACTTATCGTGTTTGTTTTGTGGATAGTGATGATAGTTAGCGTTAGCTTTGACAAATAATTGTAATTATTGTAAGTTTGCTCCACACATACTAACAATTGACTTTTGCTACTATCGGGGTTAGAATAGAATGAGTTTTGATCGGTCCTGAATCAGTATGTGTATGAATAATTTGTTAATTTGCTACAATACGAATGAAACAAAGTAAAATTTGCAATTTAAAATATAAGTACCCTAATAGTAAAACATACAAAGAAAATTATGTTTTAAAACTACTATCGTATCAGCTAAACTTTGAAAGATTAATATTTCTGGCTTTGTGTTGAGCCATCATATTTATTAGAAAAAGTGCAAAAACATTCTCAAAATAATTGAATTTTGAAAAGCAGCGTATTCTCTACTTTAAATTAATAAGATTTGTTACGCCAAGAATACCATTTTGAAAAACAGTTTACTGTCCTAGTGATTAAGTGAATGCTTAGTTGGAGAAAACGCTTTATTTTATAAGACATTTGAAATGGAAATATGTTCAAAGGTTATTAACCATTTAAATTATAAGCTTCTTTATCATTCTCATTCAAATTCCACTTAGTAAAATACGTACAAATGGAAAAAAACTTAAAGATAAATATATTGATTTATTATTTACGGTATAATATTCAAGACATATAATTATGACAACTTTTCTTTCTGTAAAATTTGATTCAAACACGTTGGAATTACAGGTAACTATATATTACGAATATTTTACGTTCAGTATCTAAAACCGTTATGTACTATATCACACAATATGTTACAACACATAATTTGCAAAATATGAAAAATAATAGTAATCAATTTTTGTTGACGTGTTGTTAAATATAATCTTTTCACACATAAACATAAAAAAATATATTAACATTACATTTCTTGTTTCGTAAAATATTCCCGAGAGTTAAATTGGTTTAAAATGTAAAAGAATGGAATATCCATATGATATCATAGTCCATTCTAGAATATCCGGATAGTTTTACGATTTTTAGAGATATGTTCTAGTAATAAAGTCTGCATGAGTTATAAGTGCAATTTATAAATAAGTCAGACATTGGACCCAACAGGTTGTATGCCACACCTGTGGTCTGTGCACAGTTTGTAGGGAGTGCAATACTTTACTTCTTTACTTGTTTTAGTATAGTGATATGCATTTCTAGGTAATACTCAACTTATATAGCCCAGAATGCTCGGAATTAATGTTAATAACTACATTGAATGTTATAAAAATATTTTTCATTTTGCAGGTGTTGCTCAACTTAATTGTGTGGGATGAAATAGTCACTTCAATCGAATATTTTCAGACTAATTTATTTGGATTATTTATAATCAAATTACGTAACTATTGTATTTTACTTAATCAATGCAACTCAAAATACTCCTCGTCCTACTTCTTGATGTTATTGTAATATCGGCTCAAATATTGCGGTTTAAAAAAATTTTCAATTTATTAAACACTAAAGGCATGACAATCCTGCATAGAACCTCAAAATCAGATAATTTTGGGTAAGCATAAATATTTTAATTCTAAACCCATGGAGTGACCACAATTAATTAAGGACTTTACACAATATGTGTATCAATTCACTACAAAACTGCGGTTAATTGAAAATGCTTCGAAAATAAATTTACGAGGGTTTTTTTGGTTGATGAAAATTTCGAAATTAACACTCATCTGTACTGGATTGAGATAAATACCATTTGTCTACACTGATGTCTTTTCTATGAACAATAACCTTTAAAATGACGTGTCGCTCAATCGGGGTTCAAGCTTACACTTTTTGAGTGGTCCCCAAAATTTCTCATTTCGAGATAGACACAGACATTTTTTATTTGTGAATAAATCATAAATAATTAAAAAATCTTAAACGTCAAAGACGAGACATAGAGTATTCTAGTAAACTTTCAAAACCAACTATTTATTAGTTAGCAGATTTATTCTATATCAAAGAAATACACAAATGCATACTAATGCAAAGCTTTAAAATCAGACACACATGAATACCTGGTTACTGTAAAAATCACCGTCCACTAGAATTTATTTTTAAGTTTCCCAAAACCTTGAAACCATCCTTGAACTGCACTGCTTACCTTTTCAGGAAGGTTATTATATGATAAGGGCCCCAAAAAATGTTCATTCCTATCAGGGACCCTCAGACCATGACATGGAGTAAGGAAATCTCCTCTATGCCTTGTGGGGTATCTATGCCATTGAACAACCTGTGGAATATCCTTTAGATGATGAACCGTTGACATAATTGCTCTGTAGATGAACGGTTGTAGGCAATGTTAGAATGGTTTGCGCCCGAAAGACCCATCTACAATGGAGGGGTGGTAGGTCTATCATTAATTTATGATACGCACTTTTTGGACGACAAAGACCTTAGCAGCATGGAAGGGACTACTAGCAAAATTTTCGTACGGAAAGGTGCACTTGTATACCATATAAATGTGTAATGAGTTTAGTTTTCCTGTTATAGCCCATTGAAATGTACAAACGAAGAATTAAGACATTTGAAATGTTATTCAGCCAGAAAGAACCTACGTAAATGTATTTTCACTCGATTTATGAACGACAATCTCTGCTTTCAGGTCCGGTCAAAATCGTAATTTCAATCGAAATATGTAAATAGATGCAGAGTTTAGTTTCCTGGGTTGACCCGTTGAACGTTAACGGAGGATATCTATACTTTTGCCCACAACCATAATAACAGAATGACATTTGATAGTAACTAGATTAGGATTGCTGCCGGACTCGACAAATTAATAAATGCTATAGGTGATAAAATATAAAAAATGCGTAAATTGAATTATTTAATTCCTTAAAAGATTCACCTGACTCCTAAGTGTTATGCTAGTAAGAAAATTCATTTATACACCTGTATGTTTTCCTTTTACTTGTCAACAGTTACCTGAATCTATTTTGCCGTCGGACTGAGGTGGAGCCGGTGACACGAAGTTTGTGCTGTGAATTTTAAAACATGCCACATTCAAGTTGACTGAGCAACTACCAGACACCTTACTCTACTGGCTGTTTCCTCGAACAGTAAACTCAAAATTTACAATAAAATTGAATTGAAAATGCAGGATACTTTTTGACATAAAAACCAAATGTTGTTCCGTCCCAGTTTAATTAAAACAACGTACCATTTTAATTTAGTGTAAGTAAATTGACTAACATTATAATAAAGAGATGGGATTTTTATTTTTATTTAAATAAAAATTCACATTGGATCAGTTTTTAATTTTAAGCATACTTTGTCAAAATAGGTATTAAACGTCATACATTTCTAAAATAATGTTTTATGTTTTTCAAAACTGATTTTTACAACACAAATTTGTTATCACTAGTTATAACTAACTTGTCAATCTTACTTCCAAATACGTAAAGTTCATTTGGTTCTGATTTAAAAATAACTACTCTCATTTATTATATCCTAACAAAATATACTTTAAGCTCTTACGAATGTGTCTTTCTATATTACAATATTAAGTTAAACTTTATAGCCATAAACTACGAATTAACTATATTTCAATGAGCACTGTCATAGGTACTAAGACAAAATTTCTCAAAACCTAATTTATATTGTTATTTATTTTTTTTTTCTACGCCAGTGGATTTTTCAGAAGGGATGGAACAGAAAGTTATTAAAACGCTTTTTGGGAAAGCAATTGTTTAGTAAATGTGCCGGGAATTGAACCCGGCCCTCCCACACCAAAGTCCGAGACGCTAAACACTAGCAAAACACAACAATAGAAATTTAATTCTAAATATTATAATAACTTATGCTTCCTCAAACCTTCACATATGTTAACAGCTTATGTAACTATTTTCCAAAGTTTTATCAAAAAAACACACACACAATAAAAACGACTACTCTTGGAAGATATGATGCAATAATCAAATTACAATACGCTATATTCTGTGAGCCATATTGTTAATTTAAAATACCAACGAACCTATTTAAACTTACCATTACATAGGACCGTACAGAAAGTGTATTTTTATTCATACAGGGTGCCATGTGTTGTTACCGTTGACACTGTATCAGCAAACAACGTAGAGGCTCACTTTTAAACAGAATAACGAAAATCCCTCTTTTGATCCAGCTTTCTAGTTTGGTTGGGCTCAAAGTGATCGGTCTACAAACATAATCGCTCACACGCTGATATATGGGGGAAATATATCAAAGGCTGTCAGACTTACTTTCGTTATGTATGCTGTAGGTCGAAAAAGAAATCCTTAAATTCTGGATTTGTCAGAAAATTATAATATTTTACTTATTCAGCTCGAGCTGTAACTAACTACACTGTAGTTTGTATATTTTAAATATATTTCCATCTTCTATGAATAAGGACTACGGAGCCTTACAGCTTTGTATTTATGGTACATTACTTTAAAATATATTCAAATGCATACAGTTATAATATATTTCTTAGAATTTCATATATTTACCAGGTATTGAATAGCTGAATGTGGTAAAGTAGTACAAAAATAAATGTGCCAGATTCGACGACGTGTGCTGTTTTGCTTTGTTTTTTTAAAAGAGTGTAGTCATTGTTTGTTTATACATTCTAGAACATTATGAAGTTTTAGATCGATGTATATTTGAATAATTGTTACACTTACTTCCAATCTAAATTGCTAAAAACCTTCTAATCTAAAGGAAACAACATATTTTCCTGCACCAACAAAATGCCAGTAGTTACACCGTTTCCACACTGGTACTGACAATCACATATTATTAGGGTGTGGGTGAGGAAGGTACAGGATTTCAGGCTCTGCAAAACACCACTACATCAACAATACAGCATTGCCAACTTGACGACAATACAAATCCCTCCCACAGTGATGAATTCTCGACATAATACCGTGCCATTGTTCGCGAGACTTGTACTTCGGACTCACTATTTATGTGTAAACCTTCATTTAAAATTCCAAGTCTCCGTGACAGTGGAAATAATTATTGAATTGATTGTTGAATGTTTGTTGAAAGTTTATTTTACCCATATTTATTTGGTGTTTTAAATATTCTATTGTGATACGGTGCCTTATTCCTTTTCGACTCAATGTTAATGCCATCTTTTGTAAAAATTGTATTTCGGACCCCCTATTTCCCGTACCTACCTTCATTTATAGTATGTAGTACAACATGTAGCATTGGGAGTAATTAGTGGACTGGTTTTATTTTTTTAAATTCTTTTTTTCTCCTTTTTGTCAGTATTTTAAGTATTGCATTGTAAACAAAAGCCTTATTACGTTTTCATTCAGTGTTAATGTTAATCATATTAGTTTGTTGCCCAATTAGTTTAGGTAAAATATAAATATAAAAAAGAAGTATAAGAGTAATCCTTTTAGAATGAAATCAGAGCCGAACGTTAAATTTTCGCACTATAAAACCATCCTGCATTTATTTAAACTTGCATTTATTTCGTTTCTAATTTTAAATGGGAGTTCCTTATATGTTTTGTACAATCATTGGTTCAAAGCAGATTAATAAAATTTCTGGTATTTTAAATGTTGATAAGTGAATTAAGTCCCCCAAAAATAGGTCCACCCTTAAAATATATATATAGTTGTCTTTTAAATAAATTTCTGCTAATACTTTTTGCAAATCTTCAAATTTAGTGTTACCAGCATTTATTTGTATGTCATACGTTATAAGTTAGTTGAAAGTATCACCATATTTAAAATGTTGGATGAGTTAATATTTGTATTACATGGTTTACCTAATGAATAGCATAAGTACAGTGTTTGATTATACATTGTCATTTTATTTTTTTCAGGAAAAACTCGAAATGGGATCGTAGCTTCCCAGATGTTTTGCTGACACAGTTTCAAAGTAAGTTTTATATTCCATAAAATATCCTCGCAAAATAATTTAAAAGAAAAAAAATTAAACACGTTTGCAAACATTTGAATTATTATTATATGTGTTTATTTTGACGCTGCGAGAGTTATACATCAATCAGTGGTGAGTTTAGACATTTCATACGTATTTGACAGGAATGAGTGACAGTTGAGTCAGAAAATGTTTCGTTTCGGCTTTTAACTGAACAAGTTAGAAAAGTTTGGCTTAGAGACAGCTGTCATTGCGAACAAGTAACTGCCCAAACTCGAGCACAACTTTCGCATAGAGATAGAATAATGTGGAGATTTTTTTACAATAACGTAGTAGTATGGTTTCACTTTTCTCTATTTTCTATGAAGCGTGTTTTTGTATTGAATTTTCTAACAAATAGTCTACGTAATAAGTATTAGAGGTTTCGATTTTAAAATAATTAAAACTGTTATTCTATATTAAAAGATTAGTTTTGATTTATGAAAATACCTTAGAGAGGCATATGTGATAAACAAAAACTGAAGTTACATTGGTTATGTTTGAATATAAAATCCAATCTTATTTTTGCCAACACTTAATTGAAGGCTTTGCTAACAGAAAAGTGTTTAAAATCGTCAGATCTTCAAACTATTATGTTGAAAAAGTTATATAGGTAACCAAACAAAACATTGACACCTAAACTAAATATAAAGTAATGACACGGTTACACTTAACAAACTTTGCCTAGCAGGGAAATTGTATTGTCATAAAGTTAGTAGCTTTCCATTGTTTACGGTGCTGATGTTAAAATAACAATGCAGACGTGACTGACACAATCGTTTCTCGGAAATCCTTAATCTTTTGATATTCACGTTACAATGGAGAAGTGAGTATTATATTAACATTTCGCTATTTTTGATAAATGTATTGTTTTCAAATAAAACTACCGTATCATTTTCTTAATGGGTGGAAAAAAGGGTGAAGACAATAATTAGACAATAATATTTGGAAATCACTAGCTATATTTTGACTTCATTTATATTGAATGATACGACTGTGAGAAGTGTTATGTGGTTCAGTATATGTTGAGGAATTAGCCAACTTAGATAATGCATTCTAAATTAACATCCATGTAAATTACAATCACAATTATCCATGCTGTACCTATGTCTCCGTATAAGTAGGGGAATTTCTGCAACACTTTTTAATAATAAATTTACTTATATTAATTTAGTTAGCAAATATTAAATAGTTTTTTATACTGTCCAGAAATATTACTCTCTAATCTTTTACTGAAGGAGAGCTTTGATAGCGAAATCGCATTAAGTCAAGTATCGTAGCCGTAAATACGCCGTGAATTTAACATCGATATTATGGGTCCCGCTTGTACAACATAACCTTTACCTTAATGATCTGATAACAGCACTTGGAGAGTTTATAGCTCTGAAGATCTGTTCGACAAAATTAATCCCCATATCCTTCAACATCGTCAATATTCTATTTAAATAGACTCGGGCTTAGGAAGTCTCAAATAAATGTTCTCATGTTCTTTTTCTCTTTTCGATATATACCTGAGCAAATATTTTACCTACAGAAATCCTTGTAGTTGACTTAAGAGTTTATAGAAAGTCTGGTACGCTAGGATTTTTAATTTAGAGCGGTCAGTATCGGCTAAACTGATTCATCATTCCAATGATGAAAATAAACGGTTAGTGACATTTCATGTTGGTTCACTGCATTGCAACTAGAAATTAAGAGGGGATACATGATTTTTAGCCACACCAATTACTAAGTGAGTACTACACTTTAATTTTACCAGACCCTTTCGCCCGATAAAATTAATTTCTACAATGGGGAAAGGGGTACCAATTATGTCACACCTTATACTCACCGTAAAAAAGTCAAAGAGAGGGTCTCTGACTTTTATCAACATTTCATATCGTGAAACTGAAAAAGAACATATTTTAAACAATTTTATATTTTCATATTGTAAAAATATTGTATAATAAAATAACACTTTTTGAACTTGAGTAAATAATAATCCGTCAGAACCAATTCATTTTAGCTGTGCCCTATATGATATTGTGTTTAGCTTGATCAATAAATAATATATCTCTGAAAAGAGGTAACAAGGCAAGTACTATTAAAACAATGATAAAGTCAAGGCAGAATGAGTGTCTGTTTTCGTTGGGACTCGTGTCTTGAGATTTGTTCTAATGCGCACAAAGTTTTACTGGTTTATATAGAGAAAAGCATGCAACTGAAAAGAACCTAAGCATCTTTACCTAAGCAATAAAACCTTTCAATCATAATTCTACGACTTAAAGTATGGCATATTGCTGTACGTTTGTATTATATTACATTATTATTTTGAGATCAGTTTTATAAAGTGTCGTGTTTCTTACATTAAGTCCTACAATTTTTATATAGAGACTATTAATAAAGAGTCAACCTTTCTGTTCATTTAAAATGGCTTTTTCGTGTCCTTATGCAACAAAGATCCTCAGAACAAAAGGGTTTAAGTTACCTCTCGTTTGAGTAACTGGATCATTCTACAGCGTCCAGGCAATTGACAACAATTTAGCTCGTGTTCTTAATATAAATATAATTTTTCATTCTTTTTAAACTGACTTTATGGTATAGCTTTTAATTAAAGCTAACGAAAACATTGCATCAGTAAATCAAGTCGTTTAGTTGTATAAAATATGCAATTATATTTTATTAATATAAATAATTCTTCCGATAAATATTTTTTTGTTGATATTAACTAATTAAAAAAATTATATAAAAACTAAACATTAAAAAAATGTATTTAATTGTATATTTACAAATTTTTTACAACTAGTTTAGGCCTACACATTATTCATGAATATTAAACTGGCTCATATATATTTGTAAGGATTGGACAATAATCCAAATAATGTGTTACAAATGTCATATAAACTGAAACCACTTTTAAAAAATACGAAAGCAACACATCTTTCAAAACCATTAAAGTTATGCCTGAAATGTATTGGATTTCATGCATTTAATTTTGTTTTATAACTTAACTTAGTTACGATGATTTAAATTGTACAAAGTAAATCTGTAAAATAAGATACTGTTTCTATTTGCCAATGGTAGTTCCCAAATGGCCTATAATACATTTTCTGTATGCTTTCATGATTAGCCTTCCCCCGCATGTCGTTCCTTTGTGCTGTATTTAGGTAATATATTCGCTGGTCAAAACAATAGCAAAGATTCTTATTTTTCTTTTTTATGAAACCCATAAATCTGTTATTACATTTAAATTATTGTATGAGCACTATAAATTAAGGATTAAGTATGAATTTAAATTCTCACTATTTTCGAAATTACCTTGAAATGTTCCGCTCCAATATGTTCAGCTTATATTGCGTGATTGAATTACAAAATTCACATACGTATCGATCTTAATGAGCTTCGCTCGCTCCGCTTAAGAATATAATCAGCACGGTTAACCAATTAATTAAAAGGCCATTTGTCACAAAGAAACCTGTAAGAAATTTTAATGAGCCGTGGACGAAATATTATAGACCGAAGTTCTATCAGGCTTGTGGGTTATTGGGTACGATTTGACACTTAAAGTTGATTGCGTGGGATACGATTTGACCCGACCTTGGGTAGGCGTGGGATCAACTGACGCTACACATTTCCTGTCAGGAAGTAAGAAGGTGAAGTTTTAAATGACAAAAACATTGCCATACAAAATGTATAAAACAATATTTAAAGTTCAATATCTACTTACACGAAGTTTCTTATTTACGGAGAAGCGATTTCAATAACAAATATTTTCATATTTTAATATGAAGTAAATATACAAATTTCTGAAGTTATTTCAGAGTAATTATGTTCAACGGAGTGACCAAAGTAAATGAACATCGCCACAAGTTCTGTCAGTCGTAGTTAATGAATCGATACCTTACGAGAGAGGCGTAATTCAATCAAAGAGGGTCTTTGTTCAACTTCTGTCTTTGTGCCGTAAATACCTACTCCAAACTTGAAACCTAAAGTAAACATTTTGAAACTTATAATTTAAAAGATAATTTTTCCTTTTTATATAAAAAAATCACAATTTTTATAAAAAAATAAAGCGATCTTTGTTACTTATAGATGAAAAGTAAAATACTTCTACTAAAATATGCGTATTTAACCCTATTTAAATAACAAAAAATATGAATTTTGTTGATGTAGGCAATCTAAATTTATTTATTATTTGTCAAATCAAATCAAATAAAATTAATGTTCCGTAAAGAAGCTAAAATAAATACGAGCAGAAAATCACTGTTTAACACTACTTATACAAAACAAACAAATGATTATCCAAAATGTGTTAGCAATTTGTAGCCTACAAAATAGCAGCATATTTTAGGCTCTCATGACTCGCAGGTAATCAATACTTTCCCGAACGATGCAAAAATGTAGGCAAGCCAAGAATTCAAAATAGCAAGTCGCAACATTTCAATAATATCAGGAGAAACGGAGAGAGATTGTAATTTGAAAAGTTGAGAAGAGAATATTGGCAAAAATTTGTTTTCTCCAGACTAATGAGTGGCGGGTTTTATAAGAGATTCAGCTTTTAATGAATCGATCATGGGAGTGGAGGAGCCTGCTGTTAAAACATGTCTTTGCCTTTAGTACTGATGTTTGGGAACTAGATTGCACCAATGAACGGTAGAGTTGATAAAATAAAATAATCTTGGCTCGTAGCAAGAGTTTATAAACATGTTAAGACTTTCAAATTAATATGTATATTTAATTACGCCATTTCTTAGGTAACCCAAGAGGGCATTCTTCAGTTTTGATCTCACATTAAAAAATAAAAACATATTTTTGTAAACTGTAAAATATGTTTAAAAAAAAATTAGAAAATTTTATTTTCAAACTGCTTCAACTTGAAAGGCTACACTTACCTGTTCACCTTTAAAGTTATACTAGTTTTTATTGAACCCTTCTCTTGTTGACATAGAATAATGTAGAATGAGTATTTATTGTTTGATGATTAAAAACAAGTAATTGTTATGCAATTTATTTTGACTGTCATTAATGCCATTTCAGCTTAATCAAATTTACCATTCATTATATATCCATAGTTTGTTTATTCTTTCTATAAGCTTGTTATCGTTTAAAAATGTGCAGCGGGTCGTGGATGTGGCAATGCTGTTTTTCAATACTAGCTCTTTCATATAATAAATATACAATTTATTGCAAAATGAAAATGTAATCTATTTGGGTGATTATGAAATCACAAGACTAAATTGTTTGATTACAGCTTAAAACGTCAAAAAAGTTTAACGGTTTGTCGAAATTGGAATGCGGAAAAGGTATTTTATAACCCACTTGTCGTAAAATTAAAATTACTTTGACTAATTGTGAACACGAAAATATAATCACCACTACAATGTGTATATTGTATGCCTACACGTACAGTTGTGAGTTGAAGTGGTTTAAATTTATACTTTTACAATAAGATATTTAGGAATTCAGGTGAATGTCCAAATGCAAGCGCTTAGCTAAATGCACAGGTCTTGTTGAAGTATTTTCTTCATAATTCTCTGCTATTGTTTCGTCCATTGAACCCTATATCGTTTTGCTTCTCTAATTGCACAGACATCCAAAGAGCATTTAACTTGAATACTCTTACTGTAAAAAGGAACATTCATTAATTTGAGATGATTTGAGAACATGAGAGAAGTTTTATTGTACTATAAAGCGTAAAATATGGGCACGAAAATTCCTTTTCAAAAATTCCTTGTTTATTTAAAAAAAGAATTTGCGAGTTTTTGAATTCATCCACATCCTGTAACAAACATCGAGATGTGGTATTTTTTCAACGTCAGTCAGAATTGACAGCAACTTTGACAGCTGATGTTCACTTCGTGGATTTCTGACATTCACTTACTATCAATGATATAAAAAATTAATTTTGCAATTTCCTGCAACATAGATGGGAATTTCCCATATATTTTGTAGAATATAATACACTTAATGTATGACCCATCGTAAATTGACTAAACATTTCTGTAATCTATTCGTCTAAAACATGTATAGGCCTAGTAATTTTCAATTATATAAATGCTGTAAAGGTTTTGGAATGAAATGTGCACATTACTACGATTATTTGACCTTAGCCCTTGCCAAAATTCCCTCCTCAACTTTTCAAATTACAATCTCTCTCCGTTTCTCCTAATTATATTGAAATGTTGCGACTTGCGATTTACAATTCTGGGTTTGACTAAATGTTTTCTTTGTTCGGGTATCCTCCTTGTTCGTGATGACGTATGCTGAGAATATATTGCTATTAGTTTGGCATTGTTTGGAAAGAGTTCTGAATATAAAATACCTCAAAAAATACATATTTTACCAAAATGACTTACGTGTATGCACGTAACTTAGAACAGTTTTCATCGACAATAGTTTTTTTCGATTTTGCATTGGAAACCTAGATACACATAATGTTATATGTTTAACGAATGAATTGAAACTCAATGAAGGATGCATATAGGAAAAATGTAATCACAAGAAACATTTCTCAATGTTATATTTAACTCCTCGTTTACTCTGTGGTTAACATTTCAAAAACTATTTTTTCTCGAATTTAGGTAAAGTAGTTGGTCGTACATTAAAATCAACGGAGACGATACTTTAATCAACGAATTTTCTATTCTAATAGTTATTTTTGATTAATTTGTATCTCACATTCAGTTTTTATCAGTTGGTTGAACGTATAATTGAATGTTTTAAGATCTCAAATCACCTACTTCAACGTGCAATGTAATCAGACAAAAGCCGTGGTGTATGCAAGCAATGAATGGCGTTTGCATTTCTGTTGTAGGTATGTGGCATGTTGTTTATGTGTTCAGCAGGTTATACAAGCAGTTTGCTTGGTCTTCATCAATAGTTAGTCATAACTCATTTTGACACATTGACATGTTGAATAGTCCAGTTAGATAGATATAGTGCTTATGTACTTATAGTGCTTAATTTGTATGATTGTAAAATGTGTTGTGATATGTGAAATAAATAAATTTATTCATTTATGTATTTATTCCAATATGGTGCTTTAGTAGGTATACAATCTACGTATTACTATGTATATTAGTGGATACAAAACACCGGACTCGGTGTTTGTTTGTGATGCTGTTGGTAACAATTTGGTTAAATTGGTAAATTGCTAGTACGTTATGTCAACTAAAACATTTAATTAAATGTAGTTTCTGTTCTGTAAACTAAATTAAACATCACATTGGCAAAAGTGTTGGTTAAATATTTAAAGAGAATATGCTAAACCACATATTGTAAATCACTTAATTTAAAACAAATTTGTTTACCTATATAAAAGTTTATTGTTTAACCTTTGCTATTTGTGTGGCATGTTTCAACTTCAGTTTATTGGACTGAATGTATTGAGATTGTGTCAACAAAAGACCCCCGCTTAGTTTTATACAGAATTATTGTTGATTTTACCAAGCAATCCAATATATATTTGGTATTTGACTTACTAATTGTAAATTAAATCTGACTGTTTGTTTATTGCTAATCAATAAATGGTGAGCGCTTGCGCGTGGACTACGTCCGACTGGAGTTTAAGCCTGTTGAAGTTACTAAGGCTATTTATCGTCTTATATAAAATCTGCTAAAATAGGCTTTTAATAATAATTTTCTTTTCAATTACATAAAACGAATTATGTCAAATTTCTAACAAGAAACTAAAATCCACTGCGTTTAAAGCTTCCACAATCTTTAATAAAAGAACTTTCTGAAGTCAAGTTTTTACGTGTTGTTATGGATTCTCAGCTGGCGTGGCAATCAATTTTTTTCAGATGTTTGTGGTCGTTTAAGCAAGGTGAGTTTTGCCTTGAGAAAACTAGATTCCTTTCTTGATCAGAGGGACCTGATCAATGTTTACCACGGATGTTTTCAGTAAGTTATGTCATATGATATAGAGGTTCAGGGAGGTTCCACACATGCAAACGAAGCATTTATGGAACAGAAACAAGCTGTTCGTATTTTATTTGGTCTTCCACCCTTGCACTCTTGTAGGGGAGTTATCCGAAAACTTAATTTTCGCACACTTTCTTCTTCATATTTTTTAAATTGGCTTTTCATCAGGTTTAAAATTGGGTCTCTTCTTGCTGATGGAGATAGACATAGGTATCCCCCCAGACATGGCTCAGATCTTCTTTTCCACAAATACGCCTGTCCCTGTCTGAAAGAGAAACTTTTACAGCTGGTATGTCTGGTTGTTTAACTGTCTTCAAATAAGTGTAAAGACATTTTATGACAAAAAAGTTTTAAAAAATGTTTGAAAACCTACCTTGTACAAAAGTACCCGTCGGTTTAATAGAATTTATGTCTGGCTGATTGCATCTTCATTTGTATGTACTATCTATCATATTTATTAAATGTTATTAGTTCTTATATTTGAATGAGATGTAAAATTGTAAAAAGAATTACCTATTCAGAGAATAAATGACTTAATAACTTACATACAATACACAAAGCCTTAAAATATTACATACAATATAGGTGGGGGAAACTATTGAAAAAAGGCATGTACAGTAGTTAGTTGCAATCATTAATTTAAATTGGAAATATAACGTAAAACTTAGCTAAAACCTTACTTATTTACCAAATTTATTAGACGAATAACTATATTTGTTTCAGGATAATGATTGTAGGAGCAATATAAAAATGTAAATATATTTAGAACCATAACATCAGCTTACGTCAAGTATTATTGCTTTCTATATAATCCTAATACTTCTCTTTTTAAATAAATATGCAAGCTCTATATTCAAATGTGCTCACTTCAATAATAACGCAACAACTGTTAGTGTACATTATTTTTAATAGTCAAAACGAATAAATTATCATTGCACAAATTGAAACATATGTTTATATAAAATAAAACTATCACAATCAACATACCACATTCGGTTAACATAAAACATTTTATACAGTACTTTATGAAAGCTATTGTCCCATTTTGTATAGTCTTTTAATAGTTATGTATCTTAAATTTATAATGCAATTTATTTGCTCAAAAGAGACGAAAACATGCTTAATGTTGATAAACACAGTATTGCGGTAAGCAAATTAAGAGATGTTGAACTCGCAGTGTTGGGAGTTCCGTTGGGCTCGAATGTTATTCTGCCTTCGATTTCTGGATGAACCGGCGATCTATCTTTTATAAAGCTTTCCAAAGCTCCAACGTCGGTATATGCTGAAACACAAAGAATTTAAAAATATTTCACCATAGAAACTACAGAAGGGGAATGTTTCTTTCGTCACTTAAGTAACCTAATAGGGTGAAAATTATATCGCTTACAATTAGCGTTTCAGACTTGTAGCATTTTATGGGTTTGGACCGCTTCCCTTTAAAGCATTTGTGATTCTTTAACTTAAAAGTTTCAATGGCGTAGACACTAGGATATACATTAAACCTTGAGTGTATTTTAGATATACGAGAGGTTAGAGGCATTAGTAAGGATAACTCATCTAAGCTCTACACAGGTTGTAAGAAACTTTTATAAGTTTTTCTAAAACACTCAAGTACGATACAAAGTAAATGAAGTTAATATCGAATACAGGTTATAAAGAACTACCCTTCTTTTAATATTTTTTTACGTATATTTTTAGAAGTAAGTTCATGAATCCATCAAGGATAACGTTCGTTCAAATTGTGCAGGGAATAGTTGATGAATTAGCAAAAGCATACAGTATCTAGGTCTTGACTAATAAGATGTACAATCTAGTTGTATTCAGTTCAAAATATTTATTTTAAAAGTAGGGGCACAATAATTACATAGAATTAAGAGTAAAAGTTAATGTCAAAAGTTAGTATTAGTTAATGAAACACGTTTCTTGTTCTGGCAATCACAATTCGACGAACCGTAAAATAAATTACTCTTTCTTGTGACTTCCATAGTTTAAATTATGACGAAAGTTAGACAAAACAAACCCCGTAGAAAACCGGCGATACTTCTCTCTGATGCCTCGATTTACATTTCATCTAGTGGCGAGTGAACATAACTTGATACTAGGGTTTGTTCTACAAAAACGATTAATGGAACCTTTTTATGAGATGGATAAGCTTTCCATGCATTATATTTCATCAAGTTAAATTTTACATTTATAATAGCTAAGAATTTTTTTAGTTTAGGGTGGGTTTATTATAAAGTAATTAATTCATTTTATGAGATTCTACTAGTTTATTATTTATATGACAGAAAGGTTTGCACAGTAACGCTAACATTACCACTACACAACTGGCTTTAATAGCATAAATTCAAATGAGTTTAGTTCTAAAATAATTATAGTTTTATCAATAACCAATAAAAATATACATTTTATTTGTTAAATTTGTCTCAAAGTTAAATTATGAATAGATCTATTTGCGTTATCCTATATCGAAAAGTATTTATTATCCTAACATATTCATACATCAAAGGGACTCGACGTTCTGTACCCACGAGCACCTCAGCTTCCACATGCACAGGATAACAGCTATTTGTGTAATAGCTTCACTGTATATTTTTAATTGGACCTGTTTAGATAGCTGTTTCGTTTCAACAGTTTCAGTTTACAGTTGCGAACTGTGCATTGCGATTTTAAGGTGTTTATTCTTTACTGTTTGTTTATGTTTATTTTTAACTTGAGCTGCTTGAAAAGGTGGTTTATGATTATGAAAATTAATGTGTTGCGAGTGAGCTGAAGCTGATTATTTGTTATTAGGTATTAACAATTAAATATTTTGCGTGCATGAATTATTTAGGAAGTTTTAAATGTTCACTTAACCTATCTTTTTCGGATTCCTCAAGAAAGAGTGATTGTTAATGTTAGGTTGAGTTGCGTTTGTGGTCTAGGTTTGTTTTGAAGTTAGTTGGGCCTTTCAGTGGAGTTTAGGTCTAAGTTATTGCCTTTGAAAAAGTTAAATTAATAACTTATCTATTAATAAGAGTATGCCTAAGTTAAGTTTACCTAAGAGGCTAACTTAGACCTACCACTACCAAAACTGCAATCTAACAAAATCACACACAAACAAACACCTAACCTAACCTAACAATCACTCTCTCTTGAGGAATCCGAAAAAATATAGGTTAGGTAAACATTTAAATCTTCATAATTAATTCATGCACGCATTCATTTAGGCTAATTGTCAATACCTAATAACAAATCAGCTTCAGCACACTCACAAAACGTTAATTTTCATAATCATAAAACACCTTTTCAAGCAGCTCAAGTCAAAAGTAAACAAACAGTAAAGATTAAAGAATTAACACCTTTTAAAAATCACAATGCACAGTTCGCAACTGTAAATGTTGAAAAAAAACAACTATCTAAACAGAAACAGGTCCAATAAAGATATACGGTGAAGCTATTACACAAATACCTGTTATCCCAAGAACTGTTCGAAGGCCTTCTGTGCTTGTGGAAGCTGAGGTTCTCGTGGGTACAGAACGTCGAGTCATCAAAGGGTTATGAGTTTAAGTTTTAATTTGTTAAAATTTCATGAATTCTGGATAACATTAGTTAGTAAATTTAATTAAGTAATATAAAAATACATTTGTAAAGTGGTATAACATGATAAGCGGGCAATTCGGGCTAAGCAGTCGTTGTCTAAAATGAATAGTCCTTAACCGTACACTAATATTTCATTAATTCCAAGCTTTCGCAAACTCTGGTGATTAAACACTCTTACACCTTTCCTTTACCTCACGAAATTGCATCATACTTCAACCCAATGTTAGTTTACTAGCTGTAAAGCAACAAACCATAATCCTCCTTTCTCTATTTACTATCACATAAATATAAACTTTAGTGAGAAACACTTAATAAATTAAAACATTGCGTACTAATAAACGACCGTGGCTGCTACAATGTAAAAACGCTGTCAAAATTCATTAGATTCATGTATGCATTGTCAAATACAAACAGTACAAATAGCTTTGCGGCGCTAATCTGAATACAAATACTGTTCACATGCCGTCAGCTGCAGTTACAGAGGGCTAATGCATTCTGGCCCTCCAGTCGTCGAGCTAACGACACAAAAACAAAACACGGACTCTTTGTGAATGGGGAGTCGAAACCCCTATTTAAATGGCGGTCGATAGCCGAGCTGCGCCGGCGCCCCGTTCATTGACAGCCGGGGATGCTGACACCTGTTTCTGTAACTACCTGTACTTGCATGAGCCATATTTGTAACATGTTCCAATGGACCCATTTTAAATCTTTCAATATATATTGCGATACATTCCTTACACGTCAGGAAAGCTTATAGTCATTTAGAAGAAAGTAAGTGATTAATTAGCAGCAACAAAATGTAAGGTGTTTTTTGAGAATAAGTTTGAAAAAATGTTAATACATGAGCTATGTATATATTTGTTTTGCGTAGTACCAACCAATTTAAATTTTACTTGTTGCTCTATTGAGATAATTTTTATTAGTATTTATTTTTTTACTTACCAGAATAGAAATGTTAAAATAGAAATATCTGTAATAGGAGTTTAACGAAAACACCCACGTTTTCATCAATAGAGTTATTTCATCATTTTATATTTCATAGAAGATGAGTTTTAAGAATTTATAGTCCCATTTACTTTCAATCCAAAGTTTTGGTTGATAATAAAAAAAAAACCCTTATGTCGGAAAGCCAAACAATATAATACATGTAATCCGGAGGAGATAGTCCTTCCATAAAACTGTAATATGGAATTTATTCGCCATACTAGAGCACTATTTATATCGATTATGTTAATGTAGAGCAATATCCCATTGAAGTTCACATGTACGATTTCAACACAGAGGTTCTAGTGACCATTGAAAACTCTAAATCCTTGTGATTTAGTGTAACACCACTTTGTGTACCTTGGTAAATTGGTTGCTTTTAACAAAACACTTTTCTTTTAAACTGTACCAGCATTGAATTATTTACCAGGAATGTAGTATATACAAATACACTTTCATGAGCTTGTCAGTAAATACAAGTTTTAGTTTTGCAGGGGGTTAAAATAAAACCATATTTTGTAATGTATATCTCTCTACGTAAAATTCGTACACTTCAGCCCGAAATCTTCAGATGTGGCCTATGGTCCAACTTTCTACCAACTCACTAGTAACACTTCATCCCAAAAAATATGTCACAGGTCTTCACTAACCATTTGGGAGGATATTAAAAAACTAACAACTCTAAAAAACTAACATGAGGTATTATATTAAAATTAACTCACCACAAAATTCGTAAGGTTAAGTTGGGTTAGGGTTAGGTAAGGTTAGGTTACCAGTAGGTTGCAAAGTATACAGGTCATGGGCCTCTTACTACCTCCAACCCTTGTAGATTTTTCTTCGGGCCGAAATTTCTTTATATTAGCTTATTTAATCAACTGTAAAAGCGAGTAGGACAAAGTGTTACTGTTTTTCTAAAAAATTTGAGTTTAGCCGAAATTTTACTGTGCGGAAGTGTTCGTACATACAAATTAACTCTGGATGCTATCATTATGATTGCAAGTCCCAAAAATACTCACCCAATGCGGTTCTCTCCGTTGCCTCCTTGAGCATCGAGTATCCGTCTCCACCATCCGCTAGGAAGGTGTTGGTCAATACCATATACTGCTTAGAGGTGTCCAATGGGAGGTAGTGAGGCACTCCACAGTCACCACACCTGATCAAGGCGCTCACCACTCTCTGCCCAACGGGTTTGGACAGGTCGTACTTGACGTACACTCCTGCGTCGGTTAACAAAATAAATCTTACATTAATTCATATTCACGAGCCTAGAGGATCCCGTGAGACTTCTCACTAAAATTGTGTTTGGAAAATGTCTATTCCTGATCTAACAATTATTATTTTAAATGCTAAGTTAGTTGGTTGATAAAGTTTTTCACCAAAAGCTGATGTATTGTTAAAAATAATCTCACTTTTTAAATTTTGAAAAGGGAAAAATAAACGAACTTAGCCATGAAAACCAGCAACTGGTTTTCATGATTCAATGTAAAAAATGATTGTATGTAATTTTGATTGCATGAAAAAATTATTTACCTGTTTGCAATGAGTTATGTGCGAGTTGGGGTTTTGAAACAAAGAAAAATTAGTTTCAAGGTTTGCACGTAGAAAAGCAGTTTTTAATATGACTGAAAAATTAGCATGCAACAGAGACCCTTAGGTTAAGGGGGATATTCAATTCACAGTATAGATAGTAGTTTGCTAAGGTGGCAGTCATATTATGTTAATCTTCATTAATTTACATTTTAAAATACACTATCGATTAACTAAATTGATAGTATATTATCAAAAAAAGTCTGTTTTGAGATCAGTTCCAGGTTCAGTATTAAGTAAACAATTAGTTAACAATTTCAGAGTCCTTTATGGCTACCCAATGAATTGTCTGATGTACCTGAGAACTGCATGAAAGCTCCGACACGTTCGACAGGATCATACCACTCCACACTGTGTTCCAGGACCTGTCTAAGTATCTCGCCTGAGATCAGGAGCTTCTCTACGGAGTTCTGGAAGGGCAATGTCGTCAGGAGATCTGAGTACGTGATTTCACCTAAATGGACAATAATTGAGGCGTGATTAATATTTTTTTAAGAGATCATAAATATTTAACTATTTTGACATTTACCAATTTTACCTAGGATGTGCATGATAAGTTAAAGTGGACCTTAACAAAATGATAAAGAGTTAAAAATAAGGAATGGTGAATTACAACTTTGATGTTGAAAACCTAGAATTGATTGCTTTAAAAAAATTAATATCATCATATACCCGATTTGGAAAGTTGAAAGTTGGTCAGAATTCATTTGATCAACTCAGAAAATTGATTTATATTAATAAAATTCAATAAGTAGTCCCACACTTAAAATTGAAACACAAAACACACTAACAGGATACATTTCACAAAAATACTTTACATTAATTAGATCAACGTCGCGGAGCGTGCAGGCTTAGGTCGGGCCACCGGCCGTGTATGCCGAATCGTTGAAGAGGAAGACCCTGTTGATGTGACAGTCACCACAAAACATGTAGTTTTAACCAGACACTTATGGATATTGTAAGGCAACAAAATAATTGTATTAATAAATACACATTTGGAAGGGATATAAGGAATTGAGAAAAATGAAAGTAATATATGGTTGGGAATCAAGAAGAAATAACCAATTTTTCATCCTAATGTTATGAAGTTAACATTTTTATTGCAGAAGTACTTGATTACAGAATGTTGTCACATATGGGATTTCAACAGATAACATACCTCTAGACAGCACGGTGTCGATGGAACTACGAAAGCTGCCTCCTTGAATAAATGCGATAGGTGCATCAGTCCACCCCTCACCGGTGAAATCTTGTGCGTTCTAATGGGGAAAATAAAATACATTTTGGAGATATAAACATTTGAGTTAATATTATTTCATTTTAACAACATTTTTACGGCACTAAGAAATGTTGATTAATTATTAAGTTGAACATTTTAATTTTTTCTTGAAAAGTTGGGCAGACACCTTTCCAGTGGCTTACAATACGAAAGCCAAGAAATTCAAATAAAATTATCGCTATTACCTCTTTTGGGATGAAAATTGTGTAAACTTACATGTTATAATAGGATTAAAAGAGTGAAAGTTCTGTTACGCAAAAACCACGACGGAAGTAGTAAAACTAGTTTATTTCCTGATACTGTAAATACTCTTGATCAATAAGGGTAAACTAATTTTACTTTGACAGGAAAGTCAATCTAAACTTTTAACGAGGTATTCGATCTCTCGTATTTTTCTTGACATTTCCTACACATCTTTCTTACAGTATATGTTTAAATAACTTGATACTTTTAACTTTTAGTATAGCCATTTTCAAAGAACATAGAACCTAAGTAGTAGGTTTGGGTCCACTCTTCGCTCAGTGATTTTATAAATAATTCTATACTACCTGTTGCATGCGTATGAACCTGATGCTCAATCACAATTTCAGTTCATCAACTCTAATTTTTCTTGGGATAAATAATAAATTACTTTCCACCTACAAACGTGCGACTAAGAAACCATATCGCACGGAAAATTGTATTACTCTTTAACGTATTTTCTCTCATAAATTACTAAATCTCAAATACGCCTGCTGCAGAAAACCTGCAGACTAAGCGGAGCTCAGTTTGTCTGGTTGGATTTGTACAAAACATTTCCGTAAACTTGTAATCTGTATTCCCTATAAAAAAAAACATTACAAGAGTAAGTACTAAGACTTGCTGTTACGGGAGAGAGAAAAGGTTGTTTTGATCAAATATTAATAGTAAAGGATTAAATATACAAAGTTATTTAAAGACTAGGATGGTGGATTGGAATCGACGTTTTACTTTCTTTCGTCGTCCTATTCAGTTAGGCACAGATCTATAAACGTGAGTGCTATTGACCATAGTATTTAACAACAGGGCTCTTTTTTCAGGTGGCTCTTTCAGACGATAAATTCGTTTTGGGTGTCCTAGAACTTATTGTGGGTCGGGATTTTTTTGAGCATCTACGATATAATATACAACTATTTTTGTTTTAATTTTGACGTAAAAAATCTATGGTTTTATATATGGTTACAGAACCTTAACCTATCTGATCTTTACCTACTCTACAGAGCTCCTCTCTAGAGAAATTCTTTGAAAAATATTTCTAAAATATATATTTTAGTGTCTTAAATTAGTAAATGCAAAAACAGTTTTTGTGTTATTTTCAAAACATATCCACACTATGGCATGGATGTATAATAGTCTACATTAAATTGAAACTATAATTGCACAAATTATACACACCATTTGAACCATAGCATCAGTCAGGAGGTTTGCAAAGTTACATTCTCTTAATCTGCAACTTGCGTGGTCTGCTTCAAGAAATGTTTTAGACGATCCAATCTTCCTTCCGGCCAATTCCTTCACTTCATTTGCATACTTAAGGACCGCTCGTTCTATTTCTCCATCTAAGGTAAACAATTGATCAATACATGTTTTATATCTTCCATATGTTTGATACAGTACCACGTTAAGACCGCTTTCAAACCTGTGTTATTATTAAACAGTCTACGGATTTACTGTGGGAATGCACTTAAACGATCTGAAAGTTAATAATCTATCTATGAAAAATCTTAGTGATATTTAAAAAAATCTTTTATCATCTATACAGGCTCAATTAGGAAACGCGTATTGCGTTTCAAGCCAGTTTGAGGAAACCAAATCAACAACCAACGTTATCAGATGATTGGTGTACGATTATTATTTGGGTGCTGAATCTATTCACATATTTTGAAAAAAGTTATAAGTGATATTTAAGTAATAAACCTACACAAAACTGGGATATTCTATTTTTTTAAACATTCAAAACAAATTGACAATTTTATTGCAACGACATTGAGCGAGGAGTCTTCAGCTTTGGAGAGGATATAAATAAAATTCAATATCATTACACAACATCTTAAGATAGTGTAATTATCAATGCTCTTGTTGAATTGTGGTGTAAAAGTTATCTTCCTATAGAACCAGTTTCAAAAAAAGTAAATCCACAAGGTTCGTCACAGGTTAATTAGTTTTTAATCCCAGGGAATTACAAAGCTGCAAGAGCTTTCTTATCTTGATGATTACTCTTTACTTAAGTAACAACAACTTCTCTGATTTATATTTTTACCTCAACAGACAGAGTTTAGAAAAACTTTATCTTTACGTTGACTAAGAATGTTTAATTTAAATCGTACTATTTTATGTTAATGTTGTAAGCGAGATAATATATTCTATTTAGAATTATTGACACTAGTGTACATGTTGCTCGAATTCGAGCGATTGCAAAGTATTACAGGAGATATTTCAAAACGAATAACAGTCATATTTACAATGATCTTAAAAGAGTCAACACAAAGATTACCGGTGTGCTACTCATGAATATCACGATGTATATAACAGTAATCAACATTTCCTGTAAATATTGTATCATATTTCATAGCCTGGTATTGCTTTTTAATGTTTTCCACAACCATTTCCTGACTTAAAGCCATATAAAGTTATCTATGTTAATTTTTGTTATTGATAAACCTAAAGCATTCTGCCGGTTTTCTCCTTCTCAATATGCCTCGCTGTACAGGCAACACAGATCATTGATAGAGGGCCAACCAATTGAGAACGAATTCTCGTTTTGGGGTAGTGTTAGGGCGCATTTGTAACCTAATAGTTGAGATTGTCCAGGGTCAGGTGCTGACTGTGATGAGTTACAAAAAAAAGTAAGCCTATTACGCGCCACTGTTCTGTAGCTGCGGTCGTTATTCCGATTAACGCCTCCTGTCTATGTTTCGTTGTTGTCACATCGGATGCATTTAAAAGAAAAAAAAAACAACAAATAAACAAATTATAGCTACACAAAACAACGATAAATGCACAAATTTAAGTTACAATCATGCTAACACGATCCGTCATAGCAACACTAAACAACGAAAAATTTAAGATACAACCATACTAACACGATCCGTCTTGGGGATTATGTTTACACAAACTCAAATAGCCTAGTAAATAAATGTACTCAATGCGTTTCATTGAATTGAAAAATAAATATCATCAATTAAATTACACAGCTGATCAAAATATAAACAATTATGTTCTTCATAAGGATAACATGGGAACTTTCAAAGCCACTGGGGCAGAACCCAAGGGACTATTAAAAAAAATGTAAGGCCAGTTTGCAAATCTACGTGACACGCTCTTTCCAATGAGACGTAATTGGATAAAATCGGTTAAGAAATGGCGGAGGAGTTCAACCAACAAAGTTTCATGTAGCGTATTAATTATATAGATTTACATTTTAAATAACGGTTATGATTCAGTGGGCTGAGGTGGATTTTGTCTGTTTTGATGAAACATACAAACCACAGGTGATCTACCTGTTGCTGGAGCAATGTGTGTGTTTCTAATGTATGTGTGGTTCTCTCTCAACACTGTTTTAGGCTTGCACTGATTGTGTGGTGCGTATATAGTGTGGCAGTGGTGGAGATGTGAGCTTAGATAATATCATCTCTAAATGAATTTCATACTAATGAATAGTCTTAATTCAAAACCTATTAATTTCATTTTGTCCAAAACGAATATCCATTTTTGTTGTAAGTATCGATGAAAAGCAGAGTTTTCTTAAAATTATAGTCATTGAGTAATGGAAAATACAAAAATACAAAATGAATGCAAACATGTATTAAAAATTTTTTTTAAATAAAATTCCAATTTAAATTACTGCATGGGAAAAATGTAAAAGTTAAATTATGTATTTGTATGTATGAAACACAACATTAAAAACTATAAGGACATTTAGCAACTCGTTTGGATTGCAAGTAAAATACATTACGAAACGTAAGGCAGGATACTTAATGGCATTGATAGAAGTTTTATGTGAGAATTTAAACAAAAATTTCCTACTGACACTGCGATGGTGAAGTATCGCAATATAAATAATAGTTTAAAAGTATAAAAACTTATGTAATATTAGTGAAATTAAGTCACCAACCAGTAATTCTTCTTATATATTAATGGTTTCCAACAAACAAACATATTTTACCAAGATGTAAATAATGATATAAAGAATTACCCTTTTTAAAAGTGTCGTCAAGTAGGATTGGATTTCCCTCACTATGTAAAACTTCCCCTTCGTCATCGAAAGTAAGCTTCAGATGTCCCAGATATTTGGTGTACGCATATGCCTGTACAACCAGCACATTCCTCCCCGAATCCTGCTTCACCAAAGTAGGGTAGGGTCCTTCAGATTGATCACTATCTGGGACCTTCCCTGAAACAGAAAACATTCGAGTTTAAACCACGGTTGTTAAAACCCCTTTGGTTGACTGAGTTCTTGATTGTAGTTCACTGTCCAACTAACCCTAAAATATACTTTATATGAAAAGATCTTGAACATTCCAAATCAATAGGCAAAATTTCTATATGTCCACAGCCATCATCAAGCACTGAGTAAATATTAAGTTAAGTATTTATTAAATATGTTTTTGAAAGTGGTTCCACAATGAGACACAAACCCCAAATTGTGTTTTTCTTTTACATAATACCACGAGTATTGTGTAAAGTATTCACGATTTCACCATTACGTGGGTAGTCACATGTGGATATGAGTAGGGCAGGTGCTCTATCCACCTTGTTATACCTTTAGGCAGCAGTAATAAGCTACTCTCCTCATCCTGTTACTCCCCCTAACTCTGATAACAGGTTTTTAACTGAATTATTATTGCGTGATGGCATTATCAAATAGAGTATCATCAGTTACAAATTAGTGGAATGACTTTGACTAAAAGTTTTATTTCGTGCTATGGAAAAATATGTGAATTTTTAAATAGTAGGTTGAGAAGGTTTTGTTATTTTATTAAATTAACTAAGTTATAAACAATTTCTACATTGCTTGTTTTATATGTTTTCAAACACGAATCAAACATTTTCTACGTTTAGTATGTGCTGACTGTAATGTTTTAGTTCCAACGTTTTGAGTTGTAGTTCGCTTTGGTACTAAGTAAGTAACGGTGATGTAGAAAAATATAAAATCTTTATAAGGGTGGCCAATAAAAGTGCTATTATTTAAATATTGCCAAAATAGTCCTAGTTAATTATTTTTCAGATTGAGATTAGTTTTTATAGTACGGTGCTACTTTTGGAATTTAAAAATCTGTTGATTACTATCGCGTCCTTTATTACGTTTTTAAAATACTTTAACTTAGTCTAGCTTTACTTGCTAATATTAAATATTATTCTAATTCAACGATTACTTGGGAAGCAATTACATAAATACAGGGGGATTGGTACTCAGTTTGACTATATAAGTCACTAAAGACGTTGTCCATGCTGCTTCGCAATGGGATGAAGACGCACAAGAGAATACTGCGTTTCAAAATCAACTGTAAAAACATTTACACACCCTCTATTGGTTATGAAAAACAATGAAAATATACACTTTTTAACAAACCTCATTACTGTAATTAAATTAACTAACATATAGTTTCAAAAAGTGTTATTTTTTAGTTTCTAATTAGGTGTACATCGACAAAAAAGGCTAATAACTCTGAAGCAAATGTAAATAAATACATAATAACCATCATGGCTCATGTTATTTTTGCCATTGGGATTGGGATAAGTTAATATTTTTCTTGCAAAGTTCTACCTATAAGACTTTTCTCTAAGATACTTTAGGAACATGAATAGACCTAATTGTATGGTGTGTTTTTGATCTTACGACATATAATTTTTCAGGTCATTTGGGCAAATGTTTGTGTAAACTGACATTTTCTACACATCTTCTACAGTATCCTACAGGTTATGACCAATCTCACCATTGTACAGGAAGGTGTTCGTGTGACCTCCGACGACCACGTCTAAGTCTGGTACTTGTTCAGCAATCTTCTTGTCTGTATTATATCCAGAGTGGCCCAATGCTATTAGTATCTTCACCCCTTTACTCTTCAGTTTTTCACTCTCTCTCTTTATTGCTACTATTTCATCCTCAAACTTAACGTTGCGTGTTTTTGCTAAGAACTGAAAAACATATTTTGTGTTTTGAAATTGTGTTCTGTATTTTTTGAGTTACCATATACATGTTGTTCGTAATAGTTAATATGGATTAAACAGTGAAATAATTATATTTTAAATTACAAATGTTTATAACTAAAATATATGGTTAATAGGAAATCATGTGTCAACGTAACTGTCAGTATACACTTCCTTCATGCAGTTGGTAGTAAATGACGGAAAATGAAAAGATTAAATGAAATTTTGTTCGTAAGCTCAAATAAATTTTCTCCCAAATTTCTCCCCAAAAATGCCCATAAATCAATCATCTCCTAAAATTTATCCCAAAAATACCCGTAAACTAATCTTTTCTCAAATGTATCCCAAAAAAAATTCCATTGTAGTAACCGTACTTGTATAAATAATTAACCAGGACCTTTCAAAAGGGTCGTCTGAACTTGTTTCCCCTTCAACCTAATTGTGGGACAAAGTTCAAAAGGACGTTATGTCCTGAAGTGACATAAAGAAACTAAGAAGTTAAGGGTGCTTTCGATGGTTATTGGTTAGTAATATTAGAAATTTACTATTTACGTCGTTACTACTTCGCCTGATTTTTATCTACCCAGTGTAAAACAAAAACAAAAAAAAGAATGATCTCCGATTTCGTAAAGATAAAATATCTTTAGATAATAGCCTTTTACAGATAATATTTTTAAATGATAAGAATATCAGGATAAGACTGGTAATCACTATTAGAAAAAATAGCGATAAAAAAGTATATTAGCAGCAGAATGTTGTTTACCTTTGTATCCGGAGTGAGATATCCGATAACTCCCACTTTGACGCCGTTTATATCCAAAACACGAGATGGGGACAGCGTTGAGACTTCTAGTTGGGGCTCTGAGGAGTCGTCGATGTTGGAGCACACAACGGGCACTAATGTCTTTTTGAGGAACGGAGTCAAACCTTCAGGCCCGTCGTCAAACTCGTGGTTGCCCAGGGACTGAAAAATATTCTAGTGTTACAGTTTGTCCCTCAATATAAAATAAAATAACTTGTATTTTATAGGTCTAAAAATACATCGTCTACATCGTCTTAAAAATGTCATCATTTCTCTCTAACTCTTAGTTGAAATTTGACTAATTTACACACTAGACAAATGCGCACAACAAATATTTACTACAAACAATAATGCTTGTTATATATAACATTTCTGTTGAACTGACGTTTTTAACAATCTCACTTCCACATGGATCTAAAGGCAGAGCACATTTGAGAGAAGTGCAGGCTTAGAGTGAACCATCATCATGTTCTTATGCGTGAAAACATAATAGTTATTGAATTATAAACGTGAGAGGTAAACTATTCGCTGTGTGTTCACTCTTAAAATAAATAATGATTTTTCATTTTTAACTATTCGGGATCAATCTCATTTACTTGACATACGACTTATATAACGACCTATGTCCTAATAATGTTTAAAGCTGCATAGGAAAATATGCTGTTTTCAATAGATATGCGTGTCCTATCCACTAAAATATGATTTACCATCGGAGAAAACGTACTGGTCAGTTAAAGTGGGAACAAGGTTCATAAATGGCACCACTTATTCGCAGTGTGGAGCAAAATCGCCTCTTGCGTTAAGGGCAGAAGATGAGAATCGTCAGTCTCGCCTAACTGGTCTGCGAGTCAAGTGATAGTAACTCACTTTTTCCCATTTCAAAGCGTTGGCTTTTCTAGTTTTATGGGTCGATCCTTCAGTAGAAGGTTTGACTTAACCTACATTTACTTACCCTAAATCCCTATACATCACAGACCGAGAAAACATTATATTTAAAAGGAAAAATCTCCTGTACTTGAATTAAGAAAATTCACCGGGTCTCAAAGTCAAAATAAGGATATGAATATGTGATTTGTAGCTAGGGTCGTTTGTGAAAAGCCCAGTTAGACATTTGTAACGATCAAAAGGCTACTGGCAATTCTGCGAATCGATAGAAACCTTAAGTGAATGTGATAAGTTATTCCTACTGTTTCTATATTCTGTTTATTTATCAGGGAAACCACTAATTTGTAGTCTTTTGCAAATTATTATTTTTTTCATGAAACATACAAGTCAAAACCGATTATGAAATCATAGTTTTGATCACAGTTTAATGTCTAACTCTGCAGAATAATAAATACCTGAAAACAACAATAATTAATAATTTTAAGGACAATAAACGAACAGTTAACAAATACCCGTCTACTGTAGTACAAACTAAGATGCTTTCATATCAGGGTAGGGAACTGTCTCTGAAAATATTAAGTTTTGAGGAGAATACCTTTAGAAGTATTGTTCGGTGGATATAAAATGCTACGGAAATCACTACAATGTTTTCATTTGATTAGTTTACTTTTATAAAATAATGTTATCAACAGTTTATGTAAAGTGCATACCCTCAACCACCACAAAAACTACAGGAATAACTTTTATTTATATTATGGACCGGTTAATGTACAGGCTACTTGATGTTTTATGTCCATTAAAGCCACAACTATGTTTCCGAAGTAACATCAAAACATTTAATCTTTCTTTTCATATCCCATTTGAAGGCACTTGTGACTTCTGATTTGCGTTTGTAAATAAGAAGGCATCGGAACAATAATTACATTCCATTTTCAACCATTCCTGACACCAATTTGATTTCTTATTTCACCTAATTTAACTACCAAAATTACTGTGCTGTTAATTTGACTTTGAACGTTTAACGAATAAAATTAAATGATGGTGAATTACTTCGTATTATATATATCACATATTCCAAAGTATAAGAGATTTTTAATTTTACAAAACTTTTTTAAGTGCTACACCATCTGTTTTCGTACCAATTCCCAATAGGAATACTTCAAAATGTGTGAATTTTAACAGACATGGCTAAAGTAATGAGAAGGGAGCAGCAGTGTACATATAGTTGACTAATGGTACAGCGAGTGCTGCTTTATGAGCAATCCGCCGTAGATAAGTGTGGGTGAGGCCCCTACATTAGGCCTTCCAGCGCAAATTGAATTTCCTGGAGGCCGAGAACCATATTTGTAATTACACTATTAGTACAGAATTATTTGATGTATATTAAATAAGCATGAACATGCATCATTACTACATTTATTATATAACACAGCACACGGACATGAACGAGATAAATATATCTGCCTGAATGTCTGATTTCGCAGTCGACAGTTCAATCCTATTCTATAATAACATTGAGCTTCGTCTTACAGGACGGATCAACAAAGAACTCTAAGCCTTTGCATGTATTCTGCCTGGGACTTGCCCGTAATCTGGTTTCGTCTGAAAAGCTTTTACAGAAGTGATGACAAACCACGATGTTCAAATCTAATTTCATTCACTGCAGGAGATAAAACAATACGATCATGCGGCTTTTAAAACAAGTTAATCAGTGTTTTAAGTATCCCACACCCCAAGTTTTTGTATGAATACCTACAAAAGGTATAACTCAAAGCAATAAAGTATACTTAAAGGATTTTTGTTAAAATTATTATAGGCCTAGTCACAATTAAAAATGGTTTCTAGGGTTAAACCCTACATAAAGCTTATAATGATGATTGATGAGTATCAGTTCTAAGTATGTTTTGAGTATATAAATATGTGGCAACCTCATTCTGTAACTACTAAATAAAAACCGATAGTCATTAACTCTTAAGCTTATTACTCTTAAGCTCTTAAGCTTACTCTTAATGCAAGGCATGTATCAGAATCATTCTACGTCAAAATACAATAAAAAATTAAAAAATCACTAAAACTAACCCTAGTGAGCTGCCCCTTTATAAATACAAATACGAACTTCTAGAAGTACGCAATACTAACAGTACATAACATAAATAAAAATACTAGGTCTATTAAATTCCTTTAAAAAAACCTTTCCTCCAATAAAGTTCAATTTTGTATAAGTCGTATTCATCTATTATGCAACTAGGAATAACATTAAGAGGCAAATTAAATTTGAGAGTGGCAGGTTAATTTTTTCATGCTTTTCTTGTAGACAAAGAAATGAAAATAAATATTTCCACATAACAATTCCAGAGTAATTTTTTACCTATTTTTTTATTCGTACAACTCTTAATTGTAAGAAAAATCTCACAACACAGAAGGGGGTTTATTTGTCTGAGATAACAAAATGTGAACACCACTATACTAATGGTTTGAGAGTAAAACGTTTTCACCTTCCCGCAGAGAATCAAATTACGCCACAAGAAATGAGTTCCTCGGATCTTTTAGTGGTTAAGTGCTGTATTCATGTAACAAAAATAACCATTGCAACATAATTTTTAATGATTTTTAGAACTAAATTTTAGGATTGAATCTGCCATAAACCTACACTCATCTGTACACCTGTAAAACCCGTTATAATCGTTTATAAACGAAACCGTAATTAGTTAAATGATTCTGTAATTTTTAAGTAGGTGAAATGGTTTGTTTTTACCATATCTAACAATGTGTAAGTTACTGTTCATTTTCCATGGGTTTCCTGTATGTAACTTTACTGTAGGTTGCAAAAAAAAAAAGATACAATAGAAGAAACAAAACAATGTACTAACTATCTAATTGTTTGGTCTGCACAACGAAAAATAATTCTATTCTTCTCAATGTTTGGAAAGAGGTATATTTTTTTATTGTATTCGTGTGGAATGCAAATACTCAGTTATCAACCACCATAATATTAAATAACTAGAAGTAGGATACGGCTCTCCCGAGTGCAGCAGGCAGCACTCAGGGCAGCATCCTCCACAGTGCACTAAACAGTGCCCAAACCCGCCGTCTTGGGGGTTGCTGGAGTAATCCCGTCAGACATTTTACGGCGGAGAGGAAAGCGATTTAACAGTGGCGTGGTGAGGACCATACAAAAACATAGAGCGCACACGCACCTACCGGCTCTGGCATGAGAGCTGGGAGTAGGAGTCGCGGAGACGCTGGACCAGAAGACTAAATCAGCAAGTCCAACCATGGGTTGACCGACAGTATGGTGAGGTTGATTATTACCTTACCCAGTTTCGGACGGGTCACAGAATTTTCCGGGTGCACCTGTTCAGGATAGGCAAAGTCGTGTCGCCCGATTGCATCTACTGCCCACTTGGAGGCTCAACAACATGTAGTACAGTTGCCGGAATCCATTTCCATTTTGTTTTGTCGAAAGAGCCGAAGCCCCCTCAACTACAACCCGGTGCCTATAATTAAACATGCCCGGGCCCCATGGTGTAAGCCGGAGCTCACGCACCAAACCTTGGCACACCATGGGCGGATGACTTAAGGTCAACAGGCTCACCGGCTGCCGAAGCAACCCTTCGGAAAGAGAGTTGCCCCTCAATCCTAACCAGGGATACCGGCTACTTGGAACCAGCAGGTACAAAACCTGAAGGCCCATAATGAAATTATATACTAACTATTATATAAAGAAAACATTCCTTACTGGCATGATACTATAATCGATATATATTTTGTACTAGCTGTGTGCCCGATCTACGAACGGGGATCTTATGGTAGTCAGTTGAAACCTTCTTATATTAAGATTAAGAACAGCAGTTAGTTTGCATATTTGCAGATATGCTGGCAAAACTATTATATATAAACCTTCGCAAATACAGTATCTGACAGTTCAAGCCAAAATAAATGCTTCGCAATTAAATGTCACCCGGATCGTTATGGTCCATATGTCCAATCAATAAACTAAAAAATCTATCTATATAATTAATACGCTACATGAAACTTTGTCGGTTGAACTCCTCCGCCATTTCTTAGCCGATTTTGTCCATTGACGTCTCATTGGAAAGAGCGTGTCGCGTAGATTTGCAAACCGGCCTTACATTTTTGAAAGCGTCCCTTGGGCTCTGCCCCAGTGGTTTTGAAAGTTCCCATGTTATCCTTATGGAGAACATAATTGTTTACATTTTGATCAGCTGTATAATTTAATTGCTGTTATTTATTTTTCAATTCAATGAAACGCATTG